TGCAAAAATGTTCATTTTTCTGTCTGTAATATAGTCATTTTCTAAATATTGGTGCTTTTACTTTCCCAGGTGATTCTGCTGTATCTCCAGGGTAACCACTTTGAACATCTAATGGTGTTACATAACAAATTGATAGGAAATTGGGCTAAACTATTGATAGCCTTCAGATACTACTTAAACCTGGAAGGTTTGGGGGCATTGTCATGTTAATCCCCAGCACCTATTTCTTTATCTCTTTCTCTTAGGAAAAAAAAATCTAGCCAACTAAGAGTTTGGTTAATGTAGGTCTTAGAGGATTCCGATTTCTTTTTTAAACGTTGGGTACTGTGCTTATATCATCACCATCTCTGTGCCCTCTACACTGCGTTATAACAAACTTTGGGTCTGTGTTCCGTTTTTATGGTAGCCCTTACTTCATGGGCTTTTCCCTCTCTTTTATTACCTTGGATTAGTTGTAACCAAAATTTGTTTTTTAAGCCAGAGGTTAGGGGTTCAGAATACATTTTCCCATAGAAGGGGCATCTGGGTGGCTGTCGGTTAAGTGTCCAGCTCTTGATTTTGGCTCAGGTCATGATCTCAGGGTCCTGGGATTGAGCCCTCTATCAGGCTCTGCGCTCAGCTGGGAGTCTGCTGGAGAATTTGTCTCTCCCTCCCTCCCTCTGCCTCTGTGCCCCCCCCCCCACTCTCTCAAGTAAATCTTTTAAAAATATATATGTATGTGTGTGTGTACACACACACACACACACACACTCTCTCTCTCTCTCTCTCCCATGGAAACAATGATAATGTGGTTAAACTAAAACTTTTCGAAAATCCATTAAACCCTTCCAAAGTTCTGTAGTTGAGCACAGTGGTGAGGCTGAAGTTCTCTTCAGGTTTTTTCGCCAACCATTTCTTTTGCACACCTCTCCCTCCACCCCAGTGTCCCAGTTCTCTTTAAATGGGAAGATGCCACAGGGAGCCATCTCTCAGCCACCTTTGGCTTTTTTGGTGATGGGTCAGTATCTGCCCACTGAGAAGATAGAGCTAGGATGGGCTGTGAAGTCAAATGAACCAGCTAGATTTTTATGCACTAAGTTTATCCACTAAAGTTTCTGTATTTATTTTGGGAACATAATAAGAACTCCTGGTCTGACGTTAATTAACTTGCAATGGGAAGGAGAGCTACTGAAGAGAAGAAAAAAAGAATTTGGCAGTCCATTGAACTGACTTAATTATAAAGCAGGCTTTCAAATGAATAGTATACAAGTCAGTGATACCCATTGGTGCTGGGTGCTCACAGAATAAACAGTCAGAAGGGACTTGGATTCTGGGCGCCTGCGTGGCTCAGTTGGTTGAGTGTCGAACGCGAGCCCTGAGTTGGGCTCTGCAGTCAGTGTGGAGTCTGCTTGTCCTCTCCCACCCGCTCCGCCCCTCCATCTGCTGGTGCACGCGTGCGTTCTCTCTCTCAAATAAATAAATAAGATCTTGGAGTGGGGGCGGGGGAGAAGGGGCTTGGGTTCACCCATCAGAATTTGATGTTGGTGATAGGTGTGTGGGTGCCTGTTGCACAAACACTGAATGAGAAAAGCCATCAAATATTGTTAGGAAGGAGATGGAGAGAGTATGACAGAGAGAGACCAGCATAATGAAAGCAGTGTGTCACTGGGCTGAAGTTTCCATTGGCAAGAATTTCTGAATTACTGCTCTGTAAACTAAACATAAACTGTCAGATTCAAGGATTGATCTCAGGACAATGTTAGCACAGAAAACCAACTTCTGTCTGAGTCGGCAGAGCTGGTGTGTATGCTTCGGCTCTAAATATAGAGGTTGTGGAATTAGGTGGGCAGGCGATGGAGGGGCAACTCTGATAAAGAATTCGAGGGGGAATTAATTGTAGTCATAATCATAATCATAATGCCATTTCCTCCCAACTTCTTTGCCCTTTAGTGTCAGTGAGAACTCCTCAGTGATGCAGGAAAGTTGAGATTTTTTAATTTTTTTGGTATTTATGTCTAGAAAAATTGAGATTTTTTTTTAAAACTGAAGAAATAAGGAAACTCCACTCTTTCTAAGGCTAAAGATAAATGGACTCTAGGGCACTGCCAGCCTGTGGCATGAAACCCTCACGTCTGAGCTGCCGGCTTCATGGAAATAAGTTAGTAGAGCGCTGGTACACTGAAGTGGGCAGTGAATTGATAGCTCGTAGCTCTACTAGTGGGTGCCACAAAGAACCTGGGATTCACGCACGTTTTCAGCCCATTTCGCCTGCTCTCTTACCTGTTTGGCATTGTCTCAGACTCCCTAAGCCACCCCCTGGTCTGTTGCTCCCAAGAATTGTTGGCTCACAAACCACAGCATAATTTACCCTAACTCCTGATTTTTCCTCAAGATCTTTGTACTTGCTGCTTGGAGGGGGCCCAGCTCTTCGGCCACCATGGTGACTGATAGCACTCCCATTTGGTGGTATCGCTTTGCCAGAGTCACACCATCTCCCAAACCAGTGTTCCCTCAGCTCTAAAATGAAAGGGTCGGTTTATTGGTTCTCTTGCTGCTCCCTGCGCTAAGGATCTGTGCCTCAGCTAGCTCAGACTGAAGACAGCTGCCTTCTTTTTTTTTTTTTTTAAAGATTTTATTTATTTATTCGCGAGAGAGTGAGAGATAGAGAGCACATGAGAGGGGGGAGGGTCAGAGGGAGAAGCAGACTCCCTGCTGAGCAGGGAGCCCGATGTGGGACTCGATCCCGGGACTCCAGGATCGTGACCTGAGCCGAAGGCAGTCGCTTAACCAACTGAGCCACCCAGGCGCCCTGAAGACAGCTGCCTTCTTAAGGCTGACCGAGAAGGATAGAGTGGCCAGTCCTGGAGGGGACTGCACAAGGCAGGGAGGCCGGGCTGCTCATTGAGTAGATGAGGACCTGCTCACAGCCATGTGCCTGGTAAGTTACACAGGGGTAGAGAGAGCTTTGTCTTGATTTTGCTTTCCAGAGTTATTGATTAGCATTATGCATGATTACTCTAAAATTAAAAGCAATTGGGCATAAGTTTACTAGGCATCCCTACTGTAAAATGATACCTTGCTTGAATTTTTTCCTTGCCTACCAAGTACTCTCTATAATGCTTTCAGTTAAACGGAGGAGCAGGATCCTTAAAGGGTAAATGCCTTGGAATTTTGTTTCTTTAAAAAAAAAAATGGCTGTGAATTGCACTTCAAAGCTTGGCTAAGCATATGGTCAGCGCAGAGCATCCCACAGTTTACTAGGAGTTCTGAGAGCTGTTCAGAGTTTCTCCTCTTTGCTACAGGTAGGAAGTGTCTGACATTCCAAAGAACATTTGTGCGGTAGTGTGCTCCCAGCTTCACTGCACAGGATGCTTCTTGTTCTGAGTCCCGTCCCTCCGTCCATCGCCCCCACCCCCACCCCCGGTGCAGGGAAAGTATTTCCAAGCCGTGTTTTCATTTGGCCATGTGATCTTGGCTTATTCAATGTTAATAAGGTCTGCTTTGGTTGCTTTAAAAGACTACAGTTTATACATAGTACTGGTCTCATCTTACTGTATATGCAGGGATCTTTTTTTTTCTTTTTAAGATTTATTTATTTATTTGAGAGAGAGCAGGAGGAGTGGCAGATGGAGAGGGAGACAAGCAGACTACTTCCCAAACAGGGAGCCCAAAGCAGGGCTCCATCCCAGGACCCTGAGATCATGACCTGAGCCAAAATTAAGAGCTGGCCGCTTAACTGACTGAGCCACCCAGGCGCCCGTATATAGGGATGTTTGATCAGTGAGGAGCTTGCCTCTGTGACCTGCTAAGGAAATCTTTGTAGCTGTGCAATCAAAAATAATTTGTTGACTCAGTGATTGAAAAGGTGAGTTGCTATTATAAGAGACAGCATAGGGGCAGTACCATAACCTTTCTCTCTTTTAAAAAAAAAAAAAAAAAATTCTGGTGCGCCTGGGTGGCTCAGTCAGGTATGTGTCTGCCTTCAGCTCAGGTCATGATCCCAGAGTCCTGGGATCGAGCCCTGCATCAGGCTCCCTGCTCAGCAGAGAGCCTGCTTCTCCCTCTGAGCACCGCCCCCCCCGCTCGTGTTCTCTCTCCATCTCTCTCAAAAATAAATAAAATCTTAAAAATTCTGTTGAAATTATTTAATATCTCAAACACCTAGAGAAGTACAAAGAATGATATAACACATTCCCTCTGCACGTTACTGTGAAATTGATCATTGCACTTTCTATCCCTCCAGCCAGCCCTCTTTTTCTTCATATCTCTTTCACTCTCCACCGAAGATTATAATTTATTTCATTTAGTGTCTTGACCCCACTAAAATGTAAGTGTCATGAGGGCAGAAAATTCTGACTTTTTGGTTCCCTGCTACACACCCTATTAGCCAGTGGCTGGCATTGTTCACACTATTTGCATATTGCCCAATATTGATTGATTAAATGCATTTTCCCATGTTTGCTTTTTTTCATGAAGTAGAGTGCATTTTGGGGCTTCCTTTGCAATTGCAGACTTTCCCCCAAATCAAACCTTCCTTCTTCCTTACCTTTTCAGAGTTAACTAGTATTGTACACCCATTAATCAGTATGTAGAATTGTCTTCAGGTGTTGAGTTATTTATATAAATGGTAATATAACCTCCTGGTTTAGCCCTGAACTACATGCAGCACTGGGGTCAGAGGACAAACCCAGAGAAGTCCTGGTATGAGTGGTAAGCCGAGCTCCCCCAAACCCTCTCTGAGGAGGACTTTCTATGTGCCTTGAATAAATGCTGAAACAAGCAGGGTGATTCATGTACCAGACAGCAATTAAGCTTTAACATCAAAGAATGAACGTGCCTCGGGTTTCTCAATTAAAGTTTAAGAACTAGATGCACTTAATGTGTCTGTGCCAGGAAATTGGCCATTTCTTTGCAGTTTTCTCCAAATAAGGGGGTCCTAATATATTAGTCCAATCAAAAAATCTCATTAACAAAGTTTAAATGGCTCACTATTCTCAGTAAAACTTTTTTCCTTCCTTTAGTTGAGACGAGAGAAGATCGACCTTGAAAATACTTTGGAACAAGAACAGGAAGCGCTAGTTAATCGTCTCTGGAAAAGGATGGACAAACTTGAAGCTGAAAAGCGGTTTGTTTAGTCTTGCTGTTCAGTGTGGGGCGTGTGCACGGCCAGGGCACTGCTCTGGGTGTGGCTGACGAATAAGAAAGGGGCGTTTTAATTCCTTGGGTGAGCTTTGTGCAGTGGCAGTATCATAGCCAGTGAGGTTTATCCGAGGCGAGATTATTGCTAATTAATTTCTTGGGTGATGCATATCATTTTAATTTGCCAAACCAAAAAAATGTTGAAAGCCTTCTGAACTCTTCTCATGTTGGTCATGTCTTTATATTTCTCTCTTATAGTCCCAGTAAATTTCCTTTCATTTGGGACAAAGGCTATGAAGAAATTAGTCACCTTCAAATTGTTCGGGAAAGATGGTTGCAATTTCAGCTGTTTACCTTACTGAACTGGCTTCCCTGGTTTTCTCAAGTGCTTAGGATGTGTACTGTGTACGGTTAATTATGACACATCTCTAGAATGTACTTCATCAGAAGGCTGAGATTTTAATAGGAAAACTATTATCAATTGACTTGAAAAGTTACTGTAAATACTTGTACATAGTTAAGGTTAGGAATCGTTTTGCTAAATGTACGTGGATGTGAAATGTCATTCAACAGCAGACATTTCTTGAGCCCCTTCGTGCCCTAATTTTTAAGTACCACCTACATTGGGGGGTGATGGAGCAGGACTTGAAGAATGTCAGGGGTTTCTGTGTGGGGGGGTGTGTAGAAAGGGAGTTTTTAAAAATATTCATTAATCTACTTCACTAGGATCTTTTGTTTGGTAACCAGAGGCTTTGGCCATAACTATTTGGTTTGGATGAACATCCATAAGTTATTTTGAGTTCATCCCTAAATTTGCAAAATATAGTCCTATCACAGGCTTTAAGAAAAGTGAAAATTAAAGCTATATCTCTAGGGAAATACTCAAGCCGTAGTTGAATTGAGTATGCTTTGCATTATTGTAGTGGTACTAAAAAAATTGAATTATGAAAAGGTATTTAATATAATAAATGCAGGGACCATTACAATATTTAACATACCAGTTTTCTCAACAAGGGCAGGCCTGAAGGTGATTCACAATTTGCATTTGGGCAAACTTAAAGGTAAAAAGTTAAAAGCCAAACCAAACCAAGACCCTAGTAGCTTATGAGAGGGGACATAGAGGTCCATTGCCAATCTGTCTTCCTTTGCAGAACGCAGTTGGAGGTTTTATATGTATAAGTACCAAAGTGTTTTGTTAAGCAATATGAAGTATCATGTGGTTGGTGAAAAGCCGTTGAGTATTCATGTTCCTTGTGCCTCAAACTAACCGTAATTGGTAGAGAAGGTGGGACCACCAATTATTAACCCTGTGATTGTGGTTTGGTTTTGTTCTTTTATCTTTTACCTGTGCTCTGACCAGAAGCAAAGGGCCTTCAGCCCAGTTTGCCCCACCCTCAGGATTGGTTTTTCAGGAAGGAAATTTTTAGAAGTAGAGTCTGTGTGGTGTCACCTTCGACCATAGTACATAGTTCGGAAGCATTGACCAGAAAGCGTTGAGGGTGAAATTTCTTTAGTATCTCCGTTTCTGCAAACAGATGTGATTCATTTAGTCAGCAGGTAATTCTGAGTGCCTACTCTATGCCAGGCATAATAATCAGAAGCAAATGCTGGAGACTTTTTCACTAATGCTTAATTACCAGTGGTCATTTAAAAGAAAAAAAGGAGGGTGGATCCTTCATCTCTGCCCTTTGACCTTGACCTGGATACTCGGTAAGGGAGACCAGAAGTAGATATAAAATGGGCAGAGCCTGAGTTCAACAACCCTGTGAATTCCGGTGATTCACAGAGCTTGCTATGAAAACAAACCCTCCAGCTAGTGTGTTGTTTTGTCTTTTAAGGCAAACTGTTTTTCATTGTTGGAATTTTTCTTTTCACTGAAGAATCCTGCAGGAGAAATTAGACCAGCCCGTCTCTGCTCCCCCGTCACCTAGAGACATCTCCATGGAGATAGACTCTCCAGAAAACATGATGCGCCACATCAGGTTTTTAAAGAATGAAGTGGAGAGGCTGAAGAAGCAACTGAGAGCCGCTCAGTTACAGCGTATGTCACCTCTAATTTCACTGGTCTTCTGTGGGCACAATTAACCCGTTTACCAAGCACAGGCTTTTACCAGTATTTACCATGGAATTTGCATAGATCAAATCCATCCTGTATTTCATTACCAATACATGTGTGTAGAAATCTTTCTATCATCCTGGAATGGATTATTTTTGAAAGTATTATAGTAGGACAGGCAAATAGTTTAGAATACTTGTTGAAAATCAAATAATTTCGGAAGCGTCCAGAATCGGGTACTATTTTTATTCTTCTCCTTGTGTTCATCTCTAGGATTGTAGTCGCAAATGTACTTTGGGGAATTAAGGCAGAGAATAGTGTTTATCGTCCTTACTACTAAATTTTAGCTTCAGCTAACACTTGTTTATCGTACTTGAAGAATAAATGCTTTAAAAATGTAGCCTTATTGTTTGGGAAAATGTCCGGATATTGAGTTGGAAATCAGAGGAACTAGATTTCTGAACACTTGATTAGGTCACTGTGCATTTGCTTGGGTCTTTCCTGTTTCTGCTCACAGGCTGCTCAGATACATTTGAGTAGACAGTGTGGCGCAGGGAAGAGTGGCTCTCCCTCTCGCCCCTGACCCCTCGCTGCCCATTTCTCAAGGTTAGACATTTTTTTATTGATTCTTCCAGGTCCATGTATGTGTCTTATAAACTTACTTTATACTAAAAGCAGCACGGTGAACACACTCTTTTGTATTTTTCGGTTTGTACTTACAGTATCTTGTAAGTTTTTTCTTGCCAATACATGTAGAGAGCTGTCTGGTTCCCTTTTTTAAAAGGCTGCTTAGTATTTGGTTCTGTGGATACGCTAGCGCCTTCTTATCTACACAGCTTCTCTTTCCATTGTGTCAGCCGGTCGGGAGGCCGGTGGCCCTCCTGCCTTACCGTCAGAAGGGCAGAAGAAGCCTGATGATATGTCACAATGCCTGTGTCATTCCCCACACTTCATCTCCTCACGTAGGCATTATATCATGTAGCATCATCACAAAGAGGGTGAGTACAGCACACTTAAGATATTTTGAGAGTGTTGGGGAGGAAGAATTTCCTCTGCCTTTCAAGGTTCTTCTGGCTGGACTAAGAATCAAATTGACATGAGACAGATTAACAGGAGAAAATCAAATTTAGTAGCATATGTATGTGGGACTGTACACAGACATGGAAATTCCAAGGACAGTCAGGCAACGGGAAGCTTATATGAGCTAAAGAGAGGGTTGGGGGTCTGAGGATACAAAGGGAGACAGACAATTAGCAGGAAGATGAGAGGAGAGGTTTAGAAAACAAAGGTTGCCCTATTATGTAGATAAGTTTTCTAGATAAAGAAGAATCTCTGTGAATAGCTGTCTTCCTGATAAAGGCAGGCAGTTGAGGGGGTAGTAAAGAGCTCTTCCTGAATTGGCTGAGTGTGGATTGCTTTACTTCAAAATACTGTTCCTGCCAAAGTGGCCCATCTTGGGAGTGGCCTGCCCTGGGCGTCTACAAGAGAAACTGGGACCACGTCATATAACTCTTATTACATTATATTGTTATAATTGTTCTAGTTTATTCTTACTTTGTTAATCTCTTACTGTGCCTAATTTAGAAATTAAACTTTATCATAGGTGTGTATATTTAGGAAAAAACATAATATATTCAGGGTTTGGGGTCATCCTCAGTTTCAGGCATCCACTGAGGGTCTTAGAACGTATGGCCCATGGATGCTGTATATCATAATTTATTTAACTAGTCCCATACCAACGGACCCGTTTTGGTTGTCATGCTGCAACCACACTGAACATCTGTGTCCCCACATTTGACACCTGAGCAAGAACACCTTCAGGATAAACTCCAGAAGTGGATTTATGGAGTCCAGGGAATGTGCATTTAAAATTTCAGTGATTCTTACCTTTATGTTTTCTTCTCTAAAGTTCATTGCAAGTTCTGGTCCAGTAGTGCATCTGGGTTGGTGACTCAGGATCATCCTTGGAACCTGTAAGAAATAGTGTTAGTTTCCTCATGTTGCTGTAACAAATGACCACAACCTTAGTTGCTTAAAGCAACACAAATGTGTTAAAGTGCAGTTCTGAAGGTCTGCGGTCCAAAATAGGTCCCGTTGTGCTAAAATCAAGGTGTCAGCAGGGCTGGTTTCTTGTAAAAGGCTTTAAGGGAGACTCTGTTTCCTTGCTTTTCCCAGCTTTTAGAGGCTGTGTGTTTTGGCTCATAGCCCCTTCCCTGCTTTGGCAGCACCCCTGCCGGCATCTACGGGCGCATCTTTTCACTCTGACCCCCTTCCTCCTTCTTACGAGACCCTGGGATGACATTTGCCCAGCCAGATAATCCAGGATAAATTCCCATCTCAAGGTCCTTAACTTAATCATATCTGCAAAGTCCCTTTTGCCTCGTAAGGTAACATCGTCCCAGGCCTCAGGGATTAGGATGTGGACATCTTTGGGGGTTCATCATTCTGTCTAACTTAATATGGGTTTCTGGGCTTACCCTAGGAGTAGAAACTTGTTCTCCATTTTTTTTAATACAAGGAATTCTGATGTGTACCTTGGGTTGAGAACCATGACATACATTTTATGAAAACAAATCAGTGAATTCTCAAATACTAGATATGTTAGGATATTTTTTGAGGTTTTGGTATGCCGGACAGACAGAGGTCTTTTCATGCCTTCCTGAACTCCTTTCAGTGCCATCAGCCTTCTTGTATATACTTCTCTTGTGCCCCAGACAAAATCTTTAGAGGAAATTGAGGAAGAATTTTTCATTCCCTTTACTTTCTTCCTATGGCACTATTTGGTCTTTGAAGAGACTGCAGATGCAAACAGAGGCATCCATAAGTGCCATTTCAATTTTTGTGAGGGCAGAGAAAGCTGAATGGAAGGAGGGACACGTGGCACCCAGCTGGCTCACAGCTGATCTGGATTGGTTTAGAAGATGAGTTAGTGACTGAGGTCAGGTAGCCCGCCTCCCTGGGCTGCTTCTGGATACTTGGCTCCTCACCCTCCAGGTCTGGCTGTATCAGAACTTGAACCTGTCTCCCAGTAGGTCTCAGCTCGGGATGAACATAAGAATCCCCTGGGGACTGTTCAGTATAGTGGTGGAGAGGCTTCATTCACAGGATTCTGATCTGTTTGGGGTGGGTCTGGGCACCAGCATTTTCTAACTATAAACTTGAAAGGGGATGCAACATGTACAGGCCACCTTTGGATCATAGGAGACCCACCTGTTTGGAGTCTGTCTGGAAGTCACCCTCTGTCGATGCTGACTTTGACCAAGTGTTCCAAGATGGCTGAAGATGGCGGAAGCATCAGGTGTGGCCCCTAAGTCTTAGAGAGCTCTTTGTGAGAGAAGGTGACAGGGTGACTCATGGGAGTAAATCCAGTCTTGAAATCAAGTGTCACCGGTGATGTGCCAGCAGAGGGCACCCAAGGAATACTGTGGTGTCAGTCATCTGAGGCTGGTCTGTAACACCTAGAGGTGATGGGCCTGGTGCCTTCTCTGTGGGCTTCTGGGTTAACATTGCCCAGATGCCAGGAAAGTCCTCCGGCCATCACTCCTGCTGACTGATGTTCTTGTGTATAGATTATTGTTTAAGGATTCCCCTGCTGATTTCCCCAGATGCTAAAGGGTTGCATCTGAAAGACAGTGTTTTCTCTTAAACGATTGTTCTTGAAGCCTCATAAATCCTCAGTTTGCTAAAGCTTTCCTATTTATGGAAAAGAAAGGCAGCTTGCTCCAACAGCCGCCCCTCTTGTTCTAGAAACAATAATACTCCAAGGGGCCAATCTAGTGCTTCCTGTAGAGCTAGTGAAAAATTCTACAGGCTTGCATATTTGTGATGAAATAATTTAAATCGTTTATATTAAAAGTGTACTTTGTAAATATTTTCCCAGCATGCCTTCAATTAAAGAGATTTTTGCATCTGGATTAGGCAGCAGGGTTTCTGGTTATATTGAAAACAACTGAGGGATTTAGTGTTTAGTGCACATAATAGTGTTTAATAACTTAGAGTTTCTGGTATTTTTATTTGAATTTCTAAAATAAGGATATTCAAGAGCTTTTATATATTCTGTAATGATGCGGTCTTGGAAATCATTGAATACTTATCATCAGAAGTCATTATTTGCTAAAACACCATACCTTCATAGAGGTGCTTAAAACTGAAACTAATTGGGTGGACTTAGGAGTTGAAGTAGGGTCACTTTGTGGGAAAGAAGTATTCAGTGTGGAATTCTACTGCTTCCTTACTTCTTAAAAGAATTTGGAGTGGGCTAATAATATGGAGCAGTAAGCTATAGGACTCTCTTAAACATGATTGGGCAGATACTGAATTTTATATTAATATTATTTTGGTGACTTAACATATTCTGTCAGCAAAGGGGCCAGGGTGGGGGCAAGTTTTACCATTCATTGGAATGCTCCAGGGAACTCGGCACAAGGAGATTCTAGAGCCTCATGAAGAGGTCAGCCCCACATTTCAGATTCCTGTAGAGCAAATCTGATGGGCTCAGCTGGTTCCAGCGTCCCACCCTGAAGCTAATCAGCTCTGGCCTAGGAAACCAGTCCTGTAGCAGAGGACTTGTCATAGGGGGCCGCTCCTGAGGACGGGTATATGGGTCTTTACCTGCTGTAAAGAGGCTGTGCATGAGTCGGGGAAAGAGTCTCACGGAAGTTAGACTTGACATATTCACCTAAAGTTGTTTACTGCGTCAGTTTCTGTTTTTATAAACAGAATTCTGACTTACTGAGTGTGTCCTAGTGCACTGGTCCTCACTGGTGTGCTAGCAGGTGTGACTGGAGCTGAGCGGCAGCAGAACGGGGCTGAATGTGGGTCCCCGGGCTGGGTCCCACCCCCCTTGGGCTGCAGCAGCGCGCAGGGCTCTGGTAGCTGCTGTTCACCATTTCCTCCTCCACATGCGGCACTTTAGAAGGCACCTAAGTGGGAGTGAAGATACCTAACCTCCCAGTGCCATGCCCCTTCTTCTGTTATTCTGTAAATGCAAATTGTTGGCAAACTTGGGTACGTGGGGTAAACTTTGAATCAGGTCTCCTGTGTGTGGGAGAGGGAGCACATTCTTTGTGGCCGAGGAGCCAGACTGTGGTCTTAGTTCAGGTTTGAGTATGGTTGCATGAAACATGGTTGAATTGAGAATTCTGGCCTTTCAGATTCTGAGAAAATGGCCCAGTATCTGGAGGAGGAGCGCCACATGCGGGAGGAGAACCTGCGGCTGCAGAGGAAGCTGCAGAGAGAGATGGAGAGAAGAGAGGCCCTGTGTCGACAGCTGTCCGAGAGCGAGTCCAGCCTGGAGATGGATGACGAAAGGTGTGTGCGCGTCTCCTGAGCCTTGTGAGCAAACCAAACCAGACCAGCTTCCGGGGGGTCTCCCTTCACGTCCGGGTAGACGTGGGAGGAGGCGGCCCTACACTTCCAGGTGCTGCCGACGACCTCCACCACCTTGGACTAGGTGCTGAGCGTGGGGAAAATGGAGAAGATGGACCATTTTCCTGAATCACAGAAAGACCAAGAAGAGGTTGCTTTTCCAAAATTATGTGGTCGAGAGAGAAATGGAGGGTTATGTATAGAGAGACAGAGTGTGCATAGTTGAGTTTGTCTCCTCCTGCACGGTGTCTGTTTAAAGTATGGGAGCATCTTATGTCCTAGATGTGGATGAGCAGGCATCATGCGGCCTGAGGAAACCCACGTGTGCCTGGGTTGAAGGATCAGCAAGGAGACAGGTGGAGGTTGCTGAAAGGCAGAGGCCTTGCATTAACAACTTGGGAACTTCTGGGCCTTATTGCAGCTACTTTAGAAAAACTAAAACCAGTGCATCCCATTTATCTGCTAAAGAGTCTGTGTCAGACCCCCTCATTGTCCCACCAAGAAATGGGCTGAAATAAGAGGGTCGTCTGTGGTTAACTAGAGGAAATGGCCCCAGCATTTCTCTCGTCCAGGGTCCCAACTTGAAAAAATTAAAATTGTTCAGTCAGCAGAGAAACCCAGCATTTGGGAAATTGGGCTTTCTCTGAACCAGATCATTTCTGCAAGGAAATGCTCTGTTCTGGATCAGGGTTGCCCTGGCCTTACGTGTCAGTGTCTGAGTGTGAGGGGTGAGACCAGGGCCTGCTAATGACCACGATGAATCATCTTGACTATTGACACCAAAACACATCAAAATCACTTCCTTTCTCTTTCCATAACTGGATAGATCCAGAGGGTTATTAACAAAGCTTTTGATCAATTTGCTGTAGACAGTGGTATTATCATTTTAAGAGAAATCTGAGATTTTCTATAATAAAGGTCTATATTTTTATAATAAAAACCTTATGAAAACAATAATGGGTTATCATATTTAAAATATCTGTGTGCTTCCTCATTTGAAAAGAATATTCTTTCTCAAAAGTTTATATCATAAAACTATTACCTTACCTTGAATTTCACTGACTTTTTTCCCTAAGATTTGATTTATCTGTCAGAGAGAGCACAAGCAGGTGGAGCGACAGGCTCCCCACTGAGCAAGGAGCCTGATGCAGGACTTGATCCCAGGACCCAGGGATCATGACCTGAGCCGAAAGCAGATGCTTAACCGACTGAGTCACCCAGGCGTCTCTCACTGATTTCTTTCCAACAGTGTTCCCTTCTCTCTGAAATCCTTGGCTTCTGAAAGCCATTTGACTAAAAACATCGGCTAGAATACCAAAGCTAACTATTTTATTAACTATCTTAAGACATGGAGCAGGCCATGCATTAACACTACACAGTGCTTTGAGTAGGACACACTGTGAGGGGCAGTATCTTCCGACCATGGTGAAAATACTGAAGCTACTTCAGGCTTCTAGATAAATATATATATATTTTTTTTCCCAGAACTGGTATTTACTCCAGAAGATTTGCCTTGTCTGTCATAGGTCACATTATCCCAGCTAGAGTACCGCTGCCCAAAAAAGATTTCTCCTCTCCGTGTTAGGAATGATGATGTCACATTTGGGGGAAAGAAAATAGTTGGAAACCTAAGATGTCTACAAGTGTGTTTATTCCTTAAAGAGCAAGAGGCAGTTTTCGCTGTCTAGCAGGGCGTAGGGTAGAGGCAGGCCCTGGTGCCACCGTGGCGGGCTGCTCTAGAGGGCAGACAGAGGTCACCGTGGGGGTCTAGTGGACAGCTGCAGGGCAGATTTGGGAGCCTGATTTTCTTTAAGCCAAATGACCCAGCACGGAAATGGCTGTGTTAACGTTCTTCTCGCGAACTGATGGACAGTTGGGGCCAGGATCTTCTCTGGGATAGAGAGCCCTGCATGCACCACTGTTGCTTCCTTTGGCTGCGAGGCCTGTTAAGGGTAGCTGATGGGGAAGTCCCTCAAGCAGAGATTTCTCCTTGTCAGCATTCGGTGCTCGTTCACAGAGTGAAGGCTGACATTCCTGACCATCAGGCCTGAGGATCCTCAGGTCTGATGTGGCTTCCACGTCCAGGAAGAAGTCTGAGCCGGTAAGGTGTGTCCAAGCGTGACTGCAGTAGGTGTGTGACCCTGGGTCTTCCACCATGTTCTTGTGTGTGGCTATTTGTTAAGCCAGGCTTACCTTGTAAATGATTGACCTCCGGTTCCCAGGAATACCGTTACCTTTAAGCTTTAATTTTATTTTTTAATTTATTTTTAATCAACGTATTTTTTCCGTTACCTTTAAGTTTTAATTTGATGACATAAATCTTAAAGGGCTTGATTGGGTTTGAATTGCAAATAACAATTTAAATGTAGCCATCAAAACATGAATGTGTTTATAATCCTTGGGACAATGGAAGTGGATTTCTACATAGCTGTTGTATGATGAAGAAAAGCCCAGCCCTCTCTGTTGTATGACACAGTTCTGTTAGTAGGCCTCCCCTTGGAGCTAGAACATTCCAGATGTCCCTAGAACATTCCAGATGTCCCTAACCTGTATCCCGAGGGAGAGGGGCTTGCCAAGCAAGCAGTGGAGCCTTGTGACCCTCGGGTCTGCTTTATACATGTCCCCTGGCTATAGCATCACTCTCTAAATATCCCGGCGTTTGACCTCAAGATGTAAACCCCAAACATTATCTCATAGGAGCTTTCTTAAGAACTCTTGAAATGCACACAGTTCTGATACCTACCCCCCTCTCCTCTTAGGTATTTTAACGAGATGTCTGCGCAAGGATTAAGACCTCGCACTGTGTCCAGCCCGATCCCTTACACGCCTTCTCCAAGTTCAAGCAGGCCTATATCGCCCGGTGAGTACACATTCTCAGCTACTTCTGTGAATGATTTCTGGCACATTTAATAGGCATCCCCAAATATGGTCCCTCCTAGCATATAAAAGTCTTGTAAGCAGAGGGAGAACAGTCCTGTGTTTTTCAGAAACATCAAAAACAAATCACTATCAAGACTGAGTTTTAGCCTGAAATTTTTAAGCACAAATGTTACAGTGCTAGCTGGTGTTTTTTAATTTTTTTGTTGTTGTTGAAAAGGAATTTAACTCCAAATAACCTTTTTAAAAAGACTGTCTTTGACTGATTTTAAGTGCCAGTGTATTGACAAAGCCTTGGACAGATGTCTGGGACGGATCGTAACATATCTCCTGTGGGTTCTATTATTATGTTCTGCTGCGTACATCATTTCATTTTTACCCTCAGAATAATTAATGTAGGCATCATTTTCCCCATGTTAACGTTGAGGAAGCAGTGATTCAGAAGTTTGGTGGCTCTTGGTCACAGGTCCAGGAAGCGGCGGGGCGGGCCAGGTCTTGCTTCCCAAGCCTGCATTCTTTGGAGCACAAGCTGCCTCCTGAGATTCCCAGGGACTGGTGAGCAGGCCTGGGCCCTGGTAGGCAGGCCCTGCAAGAAGAAACTGGCCTTGCTTTTGGCCTTGTTCCTGTGTCTGGCTTTGCTCCTCAGAAGCCTTTCCCTCAAAGGCGTGCTTGTCTTCATCTGACCCCGAAAACTCCCTGCCCCCCGCCCCGGGTCTCTGGCTCAGAACCAGCACAGCGTGGGGCTTTCAGGCCAGGAGGGCAAGTAAATGATCCAGCAAGGAAGAAAGAGGAAGCAGGGGCGGGGGACTGGCGAGCGGAGTGGAGGGAGGAAAGCAAAGGTAGCAAGCCAGAGGATCGCATCTTGTGACTGAAGGGACAAGTCTGAGTTTCTTGTGCTTGCTGGTAAACAGATTTTAAACAGAGCTGGGGAGAAAGTTGTGTGTGTGTGGAGTTCCACAGCAGAATAAAGTGAAAGTGTGCCTGCTTGGAAGGGTGGCGGCAGGAAAGGCTTTGTGTGTTTGGCGAGCCGAACAGCTGCCTGTTAGGGACCCTGTCACTTGGACTGTTGTAACCGTGGACGGTGGGGGGGGGGGGAATACGGCAGCAGCACACGTTGCCACAGACACACCGAGGTTAGGCTCCTACCCAGTGCTCTGCTGCTGACCTTTTCTGATTTCTCCTCTTTAAAAAAAAAAAAAAAAAAAAAAACCAGCACAAAGCATGGCAACTTCTGTCCAGTTGGGGCAGGGTTAAGAGGAGCTGTTTGCAAACCAAAAGGGCTTCGTGTCCTGGATCAGTACATGATCATCTCCCCCTTGTTCTTGCCCCAAGGATGCTCTGGTATCTGTGCCTCCTGTTTTCTGGTGGCCTTTAAATCTCTCCGGAAGCTCCCCTTCCTTGCTGCCTCTCAATTTTCCCCAAATAGCACTTGGGTTTCATTACCATGATAATGGTCTTTGCCTTCTGATTTATTGATCTAAAAGGAAGGCATGCATTCGGAAGAAGCAATATGGAGGGTGGCTTTTATAGTTGATGGTGATGCTGATTCATATTCAGTGTAATTTAGCCTTCTGTTTGATTTATTTAAACCTAAAGAAATCCTCAGAGGCATGTATTTTCCAATTCATTAAGTCTAATAATGTGGTCATTGAATAAAGAAAAAGCGAAAGTCAGACCTTGGTTGGGAATATACTTCTATTGTAACAGATATTCTACAGGAAAATCTTACTCTGTGTACATAATTTGGACTTTCACTGCACCTGTCCCTATACTGGGGACTTGCCTGTATAGAGGAGCCATTTGCTTTTCCTTAAACTAAGTAATAAGTAACACCTAGATTTTTTTTTTTTTCTTTCAGCCAGCCTAAGTGAGAAGAACATTTGTGTCTTAAGTTCTGTAATATCATCAAAGTAGATTTTATCTCCTATTTGGCAGCAGAATTACTCTTAATCTAGTCCCTTGCAGTCCTATACATAGTACATCAGCAAAACCTGAATTTTCAAGGTTGCTTTTCAATTTAGTTTTTATTGGAAGAAGTTATGGGGCTCATATTAAGAATATCTAATCACTTTCTTAGTGGAATTATGTTGTTTTTATATGTATATATAGTTTTCATTTCCATTTTAATCATTTTGTCTCATTTCTTCCCTTACCATTTCTGATTAACATTGGCAGTCTTGCATTTCATCAAGTTGTTGAAATACTTTAAGTTCTCATTCAGTTTGATTGAAAGATATATTTCCTAGAACTTATCAAAGATCCTCTTCTTAATAATGTATGGACTTATATATGTGGATTATGTATGGGGAGAGTATTACTTGTCAACAGTTATCTTTCAGGTTGTCCATTATTTTAAGCAGCCTAACGTCAAGACGCTCCCAATTAGCATATTTTGATGTGTCTAAATCACAGATGGGGAATAAGAACTTTGAAAAAGGGTCTACACCCCACAAGCAACAACCCACTGCCCAGATCTTGGTTTCTAATTCTGTTCTCCAGTGAAAAGAACTGGGAACTCCTTGGAGAAATGGATGTTTCTAGGGCTTGGAGTAGGGAATGTACAGGATGAACCTGGAAAATCGGTAATGCTGCAGAGTAAGGAGGTGCTCAGAAAATAGCAAGATGGAGGTATGCGGAAGAGACACAGGTCCCAACAGAAAGAGCCCCCATAGGCCAAAGCTGGAATAATCTGAGCCACAAAAGAAATAATGACATGTTAGATTATAACCCAAACATAAAATAAATATCCATGAGTTCATACTAATATAAATAAATGACGGACTAAATAAACAAGGTAGAAGAGACAAATCTCTCCTTTGAAAGAATGCCACATAATTTACATGGATACTCTGCTCTCAAGGAAGTAGAAATAACTCTTCACTCTTTAAATGTGGTAGGACATAGGGTCTTCCCTCCAAAGCGTAAGTGTGGTAAAGGGAAAAAAAAGAGTAGCTTTATAGTGGGGAGAGTTGACAAACACGGCCTCAGACTCCACGTCGACAGTGGGGGGCCATTGTCCATAGCACATACCCTTGATGTGATGAAAATGGCACTTCACCTCTGTGGACTTCTTCCAAAAAACCTGTAACCCAGTCTAACATGGCAAATGTCAGACAGATCCCAGCTGAGGGATAGTCTGTCTGCAGAGTACCTGATTGATATACCCCAAATGTGACAAGGTCATCAAAAACAAGGAAAATTGAGGAACTGCCTCAGCTGAGAGGTGCCTAAGGAGACCTGACAATTAAATATTAAGTGGCATCCAAATGGGATCCTGGAACAAAGGGACATTAGGTAAAACTTCAGGATATCCAGAGAAGTGTGGATCTGAGTTAATAATGTATCAGTATCGGTTTATTAGTTGTTTGTTTTTTTTAAGACTTTATTTATTTGACAGAGAGAGCATAAGCAGGGGGAGTGACAGGCAGAGGGAGAAGCAGACTGCCCGCTGAGCAGGAAGCCTGATGTGGGGCTCAATCCCAGGACCCTGGGATCATGACCTGAGCTGAAGGCAGACGCTTCACTGACTGAGCCACCCAGGCGCCCCTTGGTTTATTAGTTGTGACGAATGTATTATACTAGCATAAGATGTTAATAATAGGGGAATCTGAGTGTGGGCCATACAGGAACTCTCTGTATTACTCTTGCCACTTTTCTGTAAACCTAACACTATTCTAAAATTAAAAGTTTATTTTTAAAGAAAGCCACGGAAATAGGTGAGATGTCACTTAGTCCTAGTAGATAAAGGGAGCAGAGAAAAGCCCTCCTGTCTGATCGTGAAGCAACTGTGTTATTTGGAGGTGAAGCACAGGAGGAAAACCTGGAGAAGGAGATTGGGAAGTGGCTACCAGGGGAGTGGAAAGAAAATTGGAATATGATCTCATTGAAGTTAAGACAAAGCCTTTCACCGAGAAGAGAGTGGTCAGCTTTGTCAGAGGCTCTCCAAGGTCAAGTACAACGAGGAGTGGAGAATGGTTGTCGCAGCCAGCAGCATGGAAACACTGCTGACCTTGCAAGAGCAATGCTGATGGAGTGGTGGGGACAGAGCCAGATTAGGGAGATTTAAAGAGGAAATTGTGTCTATATTTGAATTTTTGCAAAGACCGTGGTCTTATTTGTAACTTCTAGAACTAAAATATCTTAAAATTATAATCTAAAATAATCTTAAAAGGAAGAAAAGGTATCTGCCTTTAGTTTGGCTCTACATTTTTTTTTTCATTAGCAAAAAGATACTGAAGAAAATTTGGGGACAGTCAGAAGGGTATAAGCAGAAATAAAGTCATCCAGAATCCTTCTCTCCAAAGGTGGTGTTTTTAGGTGTTTCCTCTCCCTACCTCCTTCTCCTGCAATGTTCCTTTAGATAGTTGGTTTCACACAGATTATACACTTCTGTACTTGCTTCATTTTGCTTAGTGATTTTTGTCATGAATTGCTTTTAATTAATCATCTTTTAAAGTTGCAGCCTTGAGCTTGTGGACAGTGAAATAAGTCTTACCATTTTCACTTTAGTTAATGCATTTCTATATGAAAACAAGAGAAATTTATTGTGGCATTAGCTTCGAAAAGCCATAGTATTTGATTTATTAGTAGACTGGTGTTTGGGGTTTGTCATTTTCAACCTAGGTATTTTTGGATTCTCATCCTGTATTGATTTCGTGGGCCAGAGGGTCAGACACTTGTGATTAGAACTTAAGGGAAAACTAAAAGTACTAATATACAGTCTGGCCTCTAAGAGCTGATCGTCAGCAGTAGGGCCTGGGCAAGGGTTGAGGGGTGGAGATACCAGGAACAAGAAACTTTGCAAGGCCACATATAATGAATTGTATGCAGAAGGTGAAATAGCTGAACTGCAGGACATCCACTCCATGGAGGGTTATATACTGTACGGTTTCATTTCTGGAACATTCTCAAAGTGACAACATGACAGTGACAGGGAGCAGATCAGTCATTGCCGGGGCGTAGGATGAGAGGGAAGGTGTGCCA